AGACAAACAAAGCAGAGGATTGGAGAGGATGGTATAGGATAATAAATTCCCAGGTAATTGTTTCATGATATGTACTATTCCATTGCTTCGCGTTGTCAGCAGTGTCATGATTAAGATGGACGTCAATGTGAGAACATTCAGTGAAAAAAAGCAATAAAATGATACTTGTAAATATTTTTACATTTTTTAATAATAAAATTATGATAAACACCAACTTTACAATTATGTAAAATGTGCATACATTTTTGGGACACCCTGTATACCTGATTAGTAAATAATCAAAACTATGGTCGCTTCCCATGATAGTCAACGCCCAGACTGGGTGCCCAAAACCGGGTGTCAGGTCTTCCGTTCTTTTACGGGTGCCTTGCTAGCCCCCCTTTGCAGACACTTCGACACAAGGCCAGTTTATCTAAAACTTCTGACAACCCCCATCGCTAGTGATCCAGGTCCGTGGAATTATCAATGACGAGTTTTCATTACAGAAAGACGATGGCGCATTCGCGAACGAAGTTCAGACACTTGGCCCAACAAACATGTGAACTGAAGATATTTCAGTCGCAGAAGTGTCCGCAGTCCTTTATATACCAAAATAATAACAAACATATTGTTTTTTACAAAGTTTACTTTGGTGAAATATTCCCATTTGTCTTGACGAGAACAGACTGAACCTTTTTTTAAATATACCAAATTATGAGTTGCAATTTCTCTCTTTGAACAAAAACGTTCGAGAGGGATTGATCGGGACCTTGTAGAAATGGCTGGCCGCACAACAGCCAATGAAGATGACGCAAGGAATAAAGGAGAAGCCTTAAATGTGTTTTGAATAACGTCAAAACGGTCACCAACTCTACTTGTGGTTGCTGCACAAAGAGGAGGGGTGGGAGGGGGGAGGAAGAAAGGGAAAATCAACTTCAAGCCCTCCCCTCATCATCCGACAGATAGGCTTTGTCATCGCTCAATGATACCAGGTTGGTTGGGCCACCTTCGGACTCGCGATTTGGTGCAGCTAATGTTGTATTGTTTTGGGAGGACAGTGTGGAATTTCCCTTGAGTGCGGCCGCAGTCCTTGCGCTTTTGGCATCCTTACACTCACAGGCGACAATTTTTATCTGCGAACAAACAAGAAAGGCAGGCATATTTTACGATGAATAAAACTATTTAAATTACCCTCACGGTACTTACTCACCAGCATCTTTCTGTGGGATTGCGCTCCGAGTCTACTTTTAAATTTCATTTGAAAGACTGCAGCAAATGTAATTCAGGCGTGAACAGTTCCTCGCAAATGTTAGGAATCACTTTCTCATTAACAACTATCTGCTGAGGGCAAGTACATGTCAAACAGGGTCTATTCCAAAATGTCCACTAGAAGGAATATATTCACTGCATTATAAAGGACGTCCATTACGCCAGCTTGTTGTGTGGGTTGACGTAAACGTACTGGATATCAATCCCGTCATCATCAGTAGTGTCAGTCACTACCGAAAATGAGGCGTTTAAGCTAAATCTACTCGTATGCACAGGCCGGTCGACGTCGGCTCGTAAGGTCTTGCGACCTATCATGAGACAGTACCAACCGCGGTGACTCTGTGAGATTGTTTTCCAGTTCTAGAGTAAGGCTGTCGGCGTGCGCAAAAGCAATAACTCTAATCTTGAGGTAGACGCTGTTGTCAGTACAGGAGAAAAGGTGTCTGAGCAAAGAAAAAAGGTCTTATTTTAATAACCTAAGCTAATTTGTTTAGCAGTTCTAATCTAAAGGACACCTCGGAAACGATAAGGCCCGAAAAGGTAAAGAGAAAGCAAAAAGGAAAGCATGAAACGGAAGATGTCATATAAATGTCTTACTTTGTCCACATGAAGCAGTGTAGAGGCATCCCGTATCTCCACATCGTTCATGACGAGCGTCCAAACATTGTCACAATTACGATAGGTATTTAGGTGACCTTTCAAAAATAGGCGATTTTTCACACGCTTGGAAAGTGCTGTACAGATACACTGATCAAATTTCTGCATGATCTAAACCAAACACCAATTACTATGGCTAAAGCATACTTTCATTGCGCATCCAGAGGTTATTAAGTTGTGGGTGAGCATCTCATCAAGAGATTCTTGAAGTGTATTCCCAAGTGTTGTCCGGCGATACATTTCGTGATAGGTTTCCGCCGACATGATGTACTTCTACCGATTTTACGGCCAACTGCAATGCAAAAATGCATAATTATGAAAAATAAGTGGGCCAAAGGCATAAATAATTCTTTTCCAAGGGCTTGACAATGCATGACAATAGCATGTTTTTGAAATCAATAACAGTCCAGCACAGGCCTTTTTACAACTCTGGAAAGGTTTCAGAGTTCAGCTTAAATCAGTATGGGTTTGACCTATGCAGATCAAAAGGACGTCAAAACATCGCTATTTCCAACTAGGAGCTTGACGAGAACCGACAATTCGAGCTGTACCTCCCTTTTTATAGGATATTTAGTGGGATAATGATAGGAACAAAGATGGAGAAAAGAGCGTGAATGCAAGGAAATCGCCAACAAAGATACACGGTCACTCTGGGCTACAATAAGATAACCCATTCCCTATTGTTCGGCAAAAGCATTGCGAGCATAATGTTGCCTTCTCCCAGATTACTGAATAAGCACAGTCTAGACCATGCTCCTGTCCAATCCCCTCGCCTTCTCACCCAGCAAAGAGTAATTCGGATAAATAAGGTCCAATTGGTAGGTTTGAGTAGAGCGGACAAGCGCAGTATTATGTTAAACCAACTGATTCATGTTTATATCACCCCTTCATCCGAAATTTTTTCGGGTGATGCAGGTAAAAGGATGTGAGAGGGCGAGAACTATCGCGACATAAGCCTCATGGTCGTTGCTGCAAAAATCCTCGCTGTTGTCTACGGGCGATTTCAGATCCCACCAAGCGGGGTTCCGAAGTGGGCGCGAATGAGCAGACCAAACATTTACCCTAAGAAGTATTATTGAACTCCGCAGTGATTACCAGCAGCCGACGGCCATTTTCTAGGTTGATTTCAATGCTGTGTTCAATTCTGTTCATAATGAGTTCATGTGGCAAAAAACACAACTAGGTGGTATGTCCGTAAAATTATCCCCACAATCAAGGTCTAGTATGGCTTCACCACCGCATGAATTCTTATATATAATATCGCCCAACTATGCGATATTCGAGCTGGTGTTCAACGAAGTTGTATCCTATTGCCTATTCTGGTCAAATGCGCCGCTTAATTGATTTTTGGAATGTAGTTAAATGGTTTTGGCGGCGTTTATTTTGCACTCGCATGTTGACTGAGTGACCTCGCTATAAGTAGAGAAAAAATGTGGTGTCATGTGGGAATGAGAAAGTTAAATACGTCGATTTACCGATGAACCAGAGGAAATCAACCCCGAAAAAGGAATAGACTCTTGGTATTAGACGCTGGAATGGGCAAACACTACTGGACCCTGGTAGCCAAAGTGTGACTATGCGCGGTCCTCACCAAAACCAAGTGGATATTTGCTGTCTGTGTGAAGTCCGAATCCCCGACTCAGGCACCCGGGAAATAAGAATCCCACCTTATCTCGTATCAAAGCGGCCCACGCGACTCTTCTGGCAGGCATGTTGGGGCCATTGTCTTCTCGAAACGAACAAATTGTCTAATATTTGACGGGAGCCAATCAATGATCGGATGTATTACGTACGTCACCTTACTAAAATCTGTCGTCTATATGCAGGCACCAAAGTAAGCTGCCGAACAGCAAGATGAGGAGAGCTAGGGCTGTAGGGAGAGAACGGACGAGGACTTCAATTTGGCACCGGACGGTAAGCACACGGTAGGTATTCCGCCGTTTGCAGAATGCAGTTTAGGTCTTAGTACTACTTTTCCGTTAGAGCCTCTGGACTTTTTTACTCAGGCGTCGATAAGAAACTAATTCGTTTGTGGGCAACTGGTCAGAAGTCGAAGGCCAGCCGATCCACCTCTCAACAGACTTATGTCCAACCAGTGCTATCAAGCATTGCCATGACGTGAGCAGTCCCCTTCAAGCGTTGAACTCATACCTTCCGGCTGGATTCTCACATCGCAGAAGAAACTTACGCGATTCTTATTTCTGAAAGGGTGTGGAATTTAGGCAGTACCTGTTGTACCTGGGAGTGGTAGTTTTGAAGGATGTATTACCGCAGGCCTGTTGGAAGCATTTTCTGCTTCTGTTTCCGGCAATGCTTTACCTATCCTGCCCACATTTAAGCCCTCGTAATAAAGGCTATGCTAAAGGGATGCTACGATTGTTCG